CTCCCTCCCTCCCTCCCCTCCTCTCTCTCTCTCTCTCTCTCTCTCTCTCTCACTCTCTCTCTCACTCTCTCTCTCTCTCTCTCACTCACACAACTGAACCTCTATCCTGTTTTTTTCGGTCTGCAAAATCGCAGGTTGCTTACCTTTTCTTCTGCAACATTGAAAATTTATCTGCAAAATGCAGACTGCAGATGGGTACATGTATTTATACCGAGGGAAAACATTTTGTTTTTACTCAGTTTCTTCCTCCTCTTCTGTTCCAAACACAAACCTCTGACCTGGCCAATGACATAATTTCTTGACGTCTGTCACCATGGTGACTGGTGTTGGGTTACATAATGTTGCAATTTCATGGTCTGCTCTACTCCTCTCACCATATACTCATAGTACATGCATGTGAATGTGTTTGAGTAAAAATTAACAGGGCAGACCATGTCTGAAGGTAAACATTATGCATTTGCTTTGCAAATGTCACTTCTGTTCACCCCCAGGTTGAGATGGATGCAGAAACAGGAGCGCCGACAGACCAGCTGACCCAGCAGGCCATCGACTTCTGCCGGAAGGTCGGCAGCCAGGCCACCAAGGCCTCCGAGATCGCCGAGGGGCGGGACACACTCATCAACGAGGCCATACAGGTGAGAGTTTTACTCTTACGTCAGTGAAGGTTAGACATCCAGGTAATAAGATACGCCCCAAAAAAACTGCTACTCAAGCAACTGGACTCTTGACCGTTTCAAAAATCATATCCAGTTGCTTTTAAATAACTGTCAACCTTTATGAACTTTACGTCGATGAAGGTTAGACATCCAGGACCTGGTGATAAGATATGCCAAAAAGCAGTTACTCAAGCAACTGGATATGATTTTGGAAACGGACTTTTGTTCCTTTTTTGAATTCCAAAAAATTGTCTTCGTGTTATTTGCATATCAATCAATAGTTTGTGCTTATAAACCTGTATTTTTCCTCTGGTCTCTCAGTCACTGACAAAAGCTAGACTAAGTGGATACTAGCTGAAACGTCTGGCCGTTTCCAAAATCATATCCAGTTGCTTGAGTTTTGGCATTTATGAACTTTTATTGCACTGTAGATTACACCACACTTCATTCATACTGTGTTATTGGAGGATTGTCTTGCTGTTTGACTTAAATAAACCATTCATGTATTCCCCTGCAGGCTGGTGTCACCAGAGCAAACAAGAGAGCCGCATCCAGAGCACAGAATATCCAGAAGTGGCTACTGCTGGAGCAGGACTTCTCTATTCCTGGGGGAGAACTAGGTACACTGTTTGTTTCTTTGTTTGTTTTGCATAGCTGGTAAACCTACCACGGGGTGCCATCCATTTTGTAATGGGGCTAATTGTACTCACTTGATTTTTGAGAGAAACAGTTAGGGGAAGGAGCCCCGTTAGAAATTGTATGGCACCCAGGCTACATGTATGGTAAACCACCTTTAACCATAACTCACCAGTTTTGGACGGTAGGTACAACCTGCATGAGACCAGAGTGCAAGGTTTGATCCATCCACACCGGGATGGACCCTTACTCTTTCAATAAGTGTGAGGGGATCTTTAATGTGCTTGAAGTGTGTCTCTACTCAAACATATAGTACATGTACCTCTCTCTGTCTTTCCATCGTGCAATACAATGTACTTACCAAAATGTGTGTTTTCAGGCCCGACACTGAAGCTGCGCCGTCCAATCGTCAACAAGATGTACGCCGACACGATTGACAAGTTCTACGCCGAGCCGGCCCCCACCCCCGGCACAACTCCCATGGAAGAGACCAAAGTGGCACGTTAAAGGGGGGTTTCCTCTGCTTCAGTGAGTTGTGACCCAAGCAACAACAGCTAGAAATGGAATCTTCTAAACATTTAACAAATAAAGAATAGTAGGATTGCGACATCTGAAAAGATTGTCATCTTACCTGGAGTTTTTGCAGACTTGGAGTAGGGCTGTGTACCTTATACTTACACCTGTAAAAATCATTTAGGTACAGGTCTGGACCAGATCATCCCGTATACCTGTACGTTATCTGTGACCAAAGCTAGATGCAGTGAAAACTAATATAATTGCTATTTCTCAGGGTTTGACCAGACATAGACCTTGTAACTATCAGTCATGCAAGCAAGCGAGAAACTCCAGACAAGATGATATCAGAAGCGTCACAATACATACTCAAGTATCTCAGCTTGTATACTTTGAGACTGAGCAGTGCTTGAAGATTGTACTGTAAGCATTGAAGTCAGTACTCAAAATCTCAAAATAGTGCAGCTGGGAGCAAAGGTTGTAGATTGGGAACCAATTAAACTATTTAACAAATTTCAGGGTGTTGGCTAATTATAATGCTGTGAGGCAGAAGCAGTTTAGGCTGGAACTACAGTCAAACCTGTACAAGTGTGACCCTCTTTTTGGTGGTCCCTTGAAAAATATTCCGGTCCACTGACCATCTGTCCACTGATCCTACGTATCGGTCCCCTTGTGCAGTTTTGACTGTACTGCATTAATGCACAACTGATGGCTAATGTACATGTACAAAGGTGTTGTAGTGAAGCAACAGCAACAGTTATGACGTTATGATCTCTTCCATGGGGTGACTCGCAGCTGTACAAACCTAAGGTGGGGTTAGATAAGATGACGTTTGCTGTGGTTCTTATGTGTATCTAGTGTCTCCCCCACCAGAGTCACTGCAGTGGCCTTAGGGCTTGTCCTGTACATGTTTGTCAACACAAGACTTCAGAGACACTTCTCTTGCTATCAAGGCCTTGTGTAGAGAACCACTCTCCAACCAGAGGTTGGTGGCGGTATAGCGACCAAAAAAAACCCGGGGCATACAATATATAAAAAGGTAACGGTATCTTCCCCCACCAACCTCTGCTTGGAGAGTATAGAGACCAATGAAGACTACTTAGTCATACATAACCAATGCACTGATCAGTGCTGTACACTGTATACTGTATAAAAGAAGTACACAGGCAGGCAACGTGTCACTGGTATGTACAGTTAACAACAAAATTATTCTTACATCTCAAAACCTCATTCATTGGTTTTGCTGTGAAAATGGATATGGTCTTCACAATTGGGAACTAAATGAATTTTCAAAAATGGTCCAAATTCTGCTATACTACATTTCATTCTTGAGAATATACTGTGCTACATTTCATTCCGGTGCAAAACAACAAATAGGAATGATTTTGGTACATATAATATAATCTTGTTGTTAACTGTAAGCAGGATATATAGACAGGCAATGTGTGTCGCTGGTATGTACATGTATGTATGGTGAGCGGATTGGCTGCTTGGCACTCCTATGCATTTGTTTAGAACCTGTGGCAGCCCTGTCTTCTATGTAATTAATTACTAACTAGTGAATCAGACAATCTCTCAGACTATTTATGGTTGTACAAATGTATTGAGTTGATTTTGTACTTATATTATGGCGGCAAGACTATGTATATGTTAAGTATCTGGGCGTCACGCTGACAAGCGGACTGAAGTGGGGTACACATGTTAATAATATCACAACTAAGGCGAAACAGACATTGGGAGTGATTAAACGTAATCTGTGGGCATGTCCAACTAGAGTAAAATCACTTGCATACACGTCACTTGTAAGACCGAACCTAGAATACGCTGCGACAGTATGGGATCCATATACAAAGAAAGACAAAGACAAATTGGAAAGGGTACAGAATCAAGCTGCAAGATTCTGTATGAACAACTATGTAAGAGGTGCTAGTGTCACGGAAATGAAAAGAAACCTACAGTGGACTTCACTGGAAGACAGAAGAAAGATGTCTAGACTATGCATGATGTACAAAATGACTAATAAACTGGTGGATGTCCCAACTACTAAGTACCTAATACCAGCCCAGAAGAGAACAAGAAATAGCCACGCATTCAAGTACCAGAGTTATCAACCAAGGATTGAGGTGTTCAAGAATTCATTCTTTCCTAGAACTATCGCAGAGTGGAACTCACTGTCACCAAGTACAGTAGGGGCATTGTCAATAGATAGCTTTAAACAATGTCTAGAGCTAGAAGTTCAAGGGTTAGGTGTAACAAGTCGATCGGTGTAATATAGCCAGCTGCCGCCGCGCCGCGTGCCTGCGAAGCTGGTGTGTTACGCCGAAAGGCGGTTATACCGGCTATACAGATACAGATACAGATACAGAAGTACAATATATATCTACTGTAGATACTTCTGCTTGAAATGCGCCATTTGGGATGTACGGGAACATTAATATTGGTGCCTTGGAGGAGACCCACCATACGCATGTTTCCTTAGTGTAGAACGCCAGCTGTGCAAGTTCACGTTCAAGATGTTTTTCATTCCTGGATCAGTCTGGCAAAAATGATCATCAGATAGACCATTCTGATTGTATCTGTATAGCCGGTATAACCGCCTTTCGGTGTAACACACCGGCTTTTTTTCCAGATTTTGTCAGATTATAATGTATAGATAGCTAAGGTTAGCCAGGACTGGTGTTACAACTTCTATGATTTGTCCTGACAACTTCTGATGGGGTCAACGTCACCACCAGGACCCATCAGCAAGTGGTGTATTGTAAAATGTAGATAATGGCACTAGACCAAAGTCATGATATCATGTTTGCAATACCCCATCGACACGTTTAACGTATGGCTTTGAATATGTTATTCATAGTTTCTATACATGTATGTAAAGTCTCTATCATATAATCGTTTTTCAATCTCAATATAAAATGTAATCGGACTAAGTATCTCCTTCAAGTGTTACATTACATTACAATATAAAGGTCTCCCTGTCACTCTCTCAATATTTATATATCTATATGTGCACACAAGTTGGCTAGTGTGTGGCGAAATGTAGCCTTGAATCGTTTATGTACAGACTGAGAAATGTAGCAATAATTGAGTTGCAGAATTCCACAATGTTTACAGGGTTTGTGCAATGTGTGAAGTTTGGCTGGCAGCTGGCCACGATTTTGTGATAGGGAGACTTAACTCTACCTGCAAATATATTGTTTGACCTGCAAAACTTTGCTTTATTAAAATATACAATACTCTGTTGAACTTTGTCCTTTTTGTAAACTTGATGGTCTCAGTCTGCAGCAGTTGAAAGTATCCTGATATCACCAGATAATTTCTAGAGTGGCTGATATAGGCATAGTTAACAAGAAAGATAACAGCAATAATGTTTACCCATACAACAAAAGTACAGCGACTTTGGTAAGGTTTACTACAACAATGCATACAAACAATCAATGGGATATAAATGAATTTTGGACTTACGACAGTAACAGGTCAAAACGTTCTTTGATATATTTACAGTTACGGTTATCTCCTAGAAAGTAACTGAATTTATCTATTCAATGTAATTCTGATAAGCAAGTGGAAAGAGAGTTGAACAGTTTAGAGCGTTCATCATATCATGAACAATCTCTGATAAAATGACACGTCTGTGCGATCAGTTGAATGTCTGCCCGACTGTACTACATTGTAGATAGTAGACGTTTTGGTACATGTAAAAGCCTGGGCATCTCTGCTATAGCCTCACCCAACTAGAGTACCCATAGACCCAGCACTAAAGCTGCTTGTCTGTTACAACTTACAGACTTACATAGAAGCAACTTCCGGAAGGGTCCCATTTCGGCACCAAATCTCCATCCACTACTTTCTTCATCTTTTTATTGCTTGGCTCCATGAAGCCATACGGTACATCCCCCGCCTTCAGAACCTCGTTGCCCATGCTCTTCATGGCTATAGTGCCGTACCGACCAGGCACCAGTGCCTTACTCATCCCGCACTCCCCCCATGGCTGCTGAACGGTGTACGCTAAAGGCTCTCCCTGCTTGTTGAACACACATTTGGAGGGGAAAGTTGCTAGCACGTACCGGATGAACTCCAGCACCTTTGGCGGCCCGCCCCATGTCCAAGTACGATTCACAAACTCTGCGTGCTCCGGACCAAGTCGTCCCAAACTCACGGAGCTATCGGGCAACCTGAAAAATTAAGATTTAAGTTTTGTAAATAGATGTGACTGATCAATGGAGAAACCCGCGTAAAGAGATTGTATATTAATTGTTGCACATGTGTCACGTTCCATGCCAAACCCTTTCCTACAGCTGGCCATTGTCTACAAGAAGATGTCTTCTTTAGGGTGACGCCTACAATCTTTAAAATTCCAAGGACAATCATTATTGTAGCTACGTGTACCTGTTAGTTGCATAGCCGCCGAGTTTGAAGCCGGTGTAAAGTTGTAGCAGATCATCCTGTTGTGGCACCGGCTTCCCCATCTCACTGCACACATGCATATGGTTCAGGACTGGCAGGCCTTTCTCGGAAAATGCTGCAGAGTTAGAGGAAAGTACCAGTCGTACATCTGGTCGACGTATTTGCATGTCAACTACCTTTTGCGAACTTATGGACTTTTTTGACATTTGGTATATGAGCAAAATGTTCATATTTTTTACATTTTTTTTTTCATTTTACCTGCAATGGTGAAGTGTTTGCCCCAATCTACCTGCTTGTCGTCACGGAGGAGTTTTAGAAGACCGTCCTTATTCTCCCAATAGAACGTGTAGGTCTCGATATCCTGCATAAACTGGGATCGTATCAAAAATATATTGTCATATAGCCAGATGGCGTCGACCGTTCAGAAGGCCCCCTTTCCCTTGTAACCAACGAAATTGATATTTGATACACTACCCGCTTTTCAAATGGAATACCTTTACGCGTTCTATTTCAATGTCCATGGGTGACCCCAAATGGAACACACGTTCTGCTCCAATGACCCAAATGGAACGCACGTGCACGTTATGCTCCAATGACCGAAATGGAACAGGCGTTCTGTTCGAATGACCGCTAGTTATTTAACACGTAAAACTATTAAAAGGACACACAATCAATCCATTGCATCCAAAAAAAGGTTCGTAGAAGTAAAAGATTCATTGTCAGTGTACTTACTCCACTTTCAACTATGGGCTCCTTTTTTAGATCACATGTATTTATAAAATGTAAGCTACCTGACGTGTTGTATCTACGGCAATTCATTTTCCTCCTATCAACTCCATCTCACACGTACCTTATACGTCCCCTCCCCCGATGCACAGATGACGGCTGTATACTGTAGTAGTTCGGCCACTTGTCTACGGCAAACTCCATCTCACCTGGAATATTTCCAGCTAGGCAGTTCCTGGCAGTAACTCTTGATGGTCTCAGTTCTATCTTTATCCATACAACAAACGGTACAGCAGCTTTCGTAAGGTTTGATTTGATTGATTTGATTTATTGAAATTGCAAACGAATACAATACTCGTGGGCCACAGGCAGCGGGGGCTGGTGTTGTGTCCCACACACAAGACAAGCATGAACACACGAACAAGACACACATTTAGGCATAAACAATATAAGTAAATGAAATTACAATATGGATCAATTGGATATATGAATTTTGGACATATCACTTATGACAGTGACAGGTCAAAACATTCTTTGATAAATTTACACAGTAACGGTTATCTCTAGAATTTAACTGAATGTATCTATTCAATGTAATATATGTAATTCTGATAAGCAAGTAGAAAGAAAGTTGAACTTTATTATCATATGAACAATCTCTGATAAAGTGACATGTCTGTGTGATCAGTTTAATGTTTGTACAAGATATTAGACATTTTGGTACATGTACAAGCCCGGGCATCTCTGCTATATAGCCTCACCCAACTAGAGTACCCATAGACCCAGCGCTTGTCTGTTACAGACTTACATAGAAGCAACTTCCGGAAGGGTCCCATTTCGGGTCCAACTCTTGATCCATTATTTTCCTCGCCTTTTCATTGCTTGGCTCTACGAAGCAGTACGGTAGATCTACTGTCTTCAGAACCTCGTTGATCAGGCTCTTCGCGACAAAAGTGCCGTACCGACCAGGCACCAGTGCCTTACTCATCCCGCACTCCCCCCATGGCTGCTGCGCTGTGTACGCCAGGGGTTCCCCCTGCTTGTTGTACACACATGTGGAGGGAAAAGTTGCTAGCACGTATCGGATGAACTCCAGCACCTCGGGCGGTCCTCCCCACTTCCAAGTACGATTCACAAGCTCTGCGTGCTCTGGACCAAGTCGTCCCAAAGTCACGGAACAATCGGGCAACCTGAAAAAAAAATCGAGATTTAATTTTTGTAAATAGATGTGACTGATCAATGGAGAAACCCGCGTAAAGAGACTGTGGATTGTTGATGTTGATTGATTGTTGCGCATGCGTCACGTTCCATGCCAAACCCTTTATCCTACGGCTGGACATTGTCTCCAAGAGATGTCTTTCTTTAAGACGCCTATAATCTTTAAAATTCCAAGGACTGTAGCTACATGCACCTGTTAGTTGCAGGCAAGACGTTGGGAAGGAAGCCGGTGTAAAGTTGAAGCAGATCATCCTGTTGTGGCACCGGCTTCCCCATCTCACTGCACACATGGTTCAGGACTGGGAGGCCTTTCTCAGCAAATGCTGCAGAGTTAGAGAAAGTACCAGTCGTTCATCTGGTCGACGTATTTGCATGTCAACTACCTTTTGCGAACTTATGGACTTTGTTGACCATTTGGTATACTAGTATAAGCGTTTGGTATATAAGAAAATTGTTTTATATATACTTTTTTTCATCTTACCTGCAATGGTGAAGTTCTTGCCCCAGTCTACCAGCTTGTTGTCACGGAGGAGTTTTAGAAGACCGTCCTTATTCTCCCAGTAGAACGTGTAGGTCTCGATATCCTGCATAAACTGGGATTGTATCAGAAATATTGTCATATAGCCAGATGGCATTGGCCATTCAGAAGGCTCCCTTTCGCTCGTAACCAACGAAATTTATATTTGATACCCGCTTTTCAAATGGAATAATTTACGCGTTCTGTTCCAATGAACATACAAATGTAAGTGACCCCAAATGGAACACGCGCTCTGCTCCAATGACCCAAATGGAACATGCGTTCTGTTCTAATGACGCTGGATCTTGAACACGTAAAACTATTAAAAAAAGGACACACAATCAACCAATTATACAGAGCATACAAAAGAAAGGTTCTTAAGAGTACGATGAGATTCATTGTCAGCGTACTTACTCCACTTTCAACTTGGCTCCTTTTTAGATCACATGTATTCATAAAATGTAAGCTACCTGACGTGTTGTATCTACGGCAATTTATTTTCCTCCTATCAACTCCATCTCACATGTACCTTATACGTCCCCTCCCCTGACGCACACATGACGGCTGTGTAGTCTGGCCACTTGTCCACAGCAAACACCATCTCACCCGGAATCTTTCCAGCTAGGTAGTTCCTGGCAGTGTAGAAGATCTAAGCGGATATTACGTTAGATGGTTTAAACGTAGATTTTTTTTTTATTTTGCACATGTAAAAGCGAAAAGTATAATAAAGGAATATGAAGCAAGTTGTGAACGAAGAACCTAAAAACTATAATCACGTGACCTAATGAATATAATGTTATAATCATATTGATGATAAAGAACTAGTTTCCTGTCATCAAATAACATGATTTACCGACATGAAATTTAAATTGTGACATAGTCAGGAAGCTATCTGAGTAACATCTAGCCGTGACGACTATTTAAGGAAACCAAAGTGCACATATCCATAGGCCACAGTTAACCATTCTAAACCGATCATGCCTGCATGCCCTTTTTCGTAAGGCGTAATCCGGCCTTCTTAGTCTTCGTAATCCCCCAAAACAACGTAATTCGTAATAGTACATTAGCCTAGAGTCGAAAACAGCTCTGAGACTTTAACGTAATTCGTAATCGGCGGCGAAAATTTGCGTAATTCGTAATCACTACCCCTACCTACACCCTTATTAAAATGCAGGCCCTCACTTAAAAGCAACACAAAATGATTTTCAAGTTATGAATGAGCTACCTTGGCAGTTGAGGGTCCCACTGTCAGGTCCCTGGTCAGTCGAAAGGTGTTAACAAATTCCTGCAAAGCACGACTGGACAGGCGGTGGCAGGACATGGTGGTGGCTGGCTCGGGCCGGCTGGGAAAATGGCACCTTTACTAAGCGTCGTGTTGTGTTTACGGAAGTAAGGTCACATCCATGTATTACTCCGAGTAGTACCTAAACGTGTACCGACCCAAAAAGTAAAAGACTATATGAAAGGTGAGAACTTTCCTTCTGTGCAGCCCAATGGATCTAGAACGTCAAACTACTGAAAGCTTGTTCGAAACTGAAGAAACTAGTACGTAACTTTTGGTAGCGAGCTAGGTCGGATGTGCACAGTCCAGGATTTGGAGTGGTGCGGTCGACCGGTCGTACGACGACGGATGTCTGAGTGGGGTCAAGGGCATTTGTATTGTGATTAGTTGGGTGGATCCACAAGACCCCACAATGGTCCGCCAATTTACGGAATACACATAAAGGAGGGGTAAATCAACCGGTCCCACTGTCAGGTCCCTGGTCAGTCGAAAGGTGTTGACAAATTCCCGAAGAGCACGGCTAGACAGGAGGTGGCAGGACATGGTAGTACCTAAACGTGTACCGACCCAAAAAGTAAAAGACTATATGAAAGGTGGGAATTTCCTTCTGTGCAGCCCAATGGATCTAGAACGTCAAACTAGTGAAAGTTTTTTCTGTAACTGAAAATAACAGCACGTAATTGTTGGCAGCAGCGAGCTAGTTCGGATGTGCACAGCCCAGGGTTTTTAGTGGTGCTGTCGACTGGTCGCACCATTCGACAGGTCGCACCATTCGCACAAGGACGGATGCCTAAGTGGGGGTCAAGGACATTTATAATGCGATTGGTTGGGTGGATCCACAAGACCCCACAATGGTCCGCCAATTTGCAGATACACATAAAGAAGTGGTAAATCTACTGGAATACACCCTGCTCTGATAAGTTAAAATCCCAGATTGGTGTATCTAATAAGGCAACGTATACATGGCCCATGGAACAAGAAATCACTAGAAATTTCTGAGCCATTGCATGGATACCCTGGATGCCAGACTAGTAGTTTACAGTAACGTTGTAGGGCCAGCCAAATTCCCCTCGGGCTCAACTCCCCCTAGCGGTAATTTAGACCGGCGGGCCGAAGGGCTTCTGGCTACCAAAGGGCCCGATACCAGTCTGGCATCCATGGTATTGCATAGAGGTACCGAAGAGAGACGATCGGCGATGTCGACCCGGCCAGTCGGCCATGTTTGTTTTCCGTATTGTGGATTACACAGTGTTTGTTTAACGGGGTCACAATGAGGACACAGCTACTGAGATTACAACTTTGATGATTGTAATATTCTGACAACTCACTTCTGATGAGGACAGAATCACCACCAGCGTGTATCAAAATGTGGTGTACTAGTATTCTACATGCAAGGCACCAGACTAATGTCGGGGTTAAAGTACCCCCGTCAGACAAGTATGTCTTTGACTATACTATTCATAGTTGCTATATATCAAGTTTCTATTATAAAATCATTCTTACGTTCAGACCAGGTGAAAGATTGAAGTATTTCCCTAAAGTGTACATTCTGATACAATGGTCTTCCTGTCACTCTCTCAATATTTATATATCTATATGTGCACACAAGTTGGCTAGTGTGTGGCGAAGTGTGTGGCGAAATGAATCGTTTATGTACAGACTGATAAATGTAGCAATAATTGAGTTGCAGAATTCCACAATGTTATAATTTACAGGGTTTGTGCATATACGTTTGTGTACATGCAAAAGCCCGGGCATCTCTGCTATATAGCCTCAGCCAACTAGAGTAGCTGTAGACCCAGCGCTAAAGTTGCTTGTCTGTTACAGGCTTGTCTGTTACAGGCTTACATAAAAGCAACTTCCGGAAGGGTCCCATTTTGTGTCCAACTCTTCATCCATTATTTTCCTGGCCTTCTTATTGCTTTGCTCTACGAAGCAGTACGGTAGATCCCCCGCCTTCAGAACCTCGTTGATCATACTCTTCACGACAAAAGTGCCGTACCGACCGGGCGCCACTGCCCTAGTCATCCCGTACTCCCCCCAGGGCTGGAGAAGGGTGAACGCCAGGGGCTCCCCCTGCTTGTTGAACACGCATTTGGAGGGGAATGTTGCTAGCACGTATCGGATGAACTCCAACACCTTTGGCGGTCCTCCCCACTTCCAAGTACGATTCACAAACTCTGCGTGCTCTGGACCAAGTCGTCCCAAACTCACGGAGCAATCGGGAAAACTGCAGCTGAAAAATTGATTATGATTTAAGTTAGAACCATTTTGTAAATAGATATGCCTGATCAATGGGGAAACCGCGTTAAGAGAAAAAAAATTCCCAACACGTCATGTTTAATGCCAAACACAGCTGGCCATTGTCTACAAGACGTTGTTTTTTTAGACGCCTACAATCTTTAAAATTCCAAGGACAATCACTGTAACTACCTGTCAGTTGCAGGCAAGATGTTGGGATGGAAGGCGGTGTGAACCTGAACTAGATTATCCTGCTGTGGCGCTGGCTTCCCCATCTGACGGCAAACATGGTTCAGGACTGGGAGGCCCTTCTCAGCAAATGCTGCAGAGTTAGAGGAAACGTACATCTGGTCGACGTATTTGCATGTCAACTACCTTTTGCGAACCTATGGACTTTGTTGACCATTTTGTATACTAGTATAAGCGTTTCGTATATAAGAAAATTGTTTTACACATACTTTTTTTTTCATCTTACCTGCAATGGTGAAGTTCTTGCCCCAGTCTACCAGCTTGTCATCACGGAGGAGTTTTAGAAGACCGTCCTTATTCTCCCAGTAGAACGTGTAGGTCTCGATATCCTGCATAAACTGGGATTGTATCAGAAATATTGTCATATAGCCAGATGGCATTGGCCATTCAGAAGGCTCCCTTTCGCTCGTAACCAACGAAATTTATATTTGATACCCGCTTTTCAAATGGAATAATTTACGCGTTCTGTTCCAATGAACATACAAATGTAAGTGACCCCAAATGGAACACGCGTTCTGCTCCAATGACCCAAATGGAACATGCGTTCTGTTCTAATGACGCTGGATCTTGAACACGTAAAACTATTTTAAAAAAGGACACACAATCAACCCATTATACAGAGCACACAAAAGAAAGGTTCTTTAGAGTACGATGAGATTCATTGTCAGCGTACTTACTCCACTTTCAACTTGGCTCCTTTTTAGATCACATGTATTTATAAAATGTAATTAAGCTACCTGACGTGTTGTATCTACGGCAATTCATTTTACTACATTATTCTGAGAGGATTGTTCGATGGATTCCATCTCACATGTACCTTATACGTTCCCTCCCCCGATGCACACATGACGGCTGTGTAGTTCGGCCACTTGTCCACAGCAAACACCATCTCACCCGGAATCTTTCCAACTAGGTAGTTCCTGGCAGTGTAGAAGATCTAAGTGGATATAACGTTAGATGGTTTAACGTAGATTTTTTATTTTGCACATGTAAAAGCGAAAAGTATATAATAAAGGAATATGAAGCAAGTTGTGAACGAAGAACCTAAAAACTATAATCACGTGACCTAATGAATATAATGTTATAATCATATTGATGATAAAGAACAAGTTTCCTGTCATGAAATAACATGATTTACCGACATGAAATTTAAATTGTAACATAGTTAGGAAGCTCTCTGAGTAGCATCTAACCGTGGCGACTATTTTAAGGAAACCAAAGTGCACATATCCATAGGCCACAGTTAACCATTCTAAACCGATCATGCCTGCATGCCCTTTTCCGTAAGGCGTAATCCGGCCTTCTTAGTCTTCGTAATCCGAAGGCAGCCTCCCCAAAAACAACGTAATTCGTAAAAGTACATTAGCCTAGAGTCGAAAACAGCTCTGAGGCTTTAACGTAATTCGTAATCGGCGGCGAAAATTTGCGTAATTCGTAATCACTACCCCCTACCCCCACCCTTATTAAAATGCAGGCCCTCACTTAAAAGCAACACAAAATGATGTTCAAGTTATGAATGAGCTACCTTGGCAGTTGAGGGTCCCACTGTCAGGTCCCTGGTCAGTCGAAAGGTGTTGACAAATTCCTGCAGAGCACGACTGGACAGGCGGTGGCAGGACATGGTGGCTGGCTCGGGCTGGCTGGGAAACTGTCACCTTTACTAAGCGTCGTGTTGTGTTTACGAAAGGTAAGGTTACATCCATGTATATAATACTACGAGTTAGTACCTAAAAGAGTACCGACCTAAAAAAAAGTAGAAGACTATATGAAAGGTGGGAAATTTCCTTCTGTGCAGCCCAATAGATCTAGAACGTCAAACTACTGAAAGCTTGTTCGAAACTGAAGAAACTAGTACGTAACTTTTGGTAGTAACGAGCTAGGTCGGATGTGCACAGTCCAGGATTTGGAGTGGTGCGGTCGACCGGTCGTACGACGACGGATGTCTGAGTGGGGTCCGACAAGGGCATTTGTATTGTGATTAGTTGGGTGGATCCACAAGACCCCACAATGGTCCGCCAATTTACGGAATACACATAAAGGAGGGGTAAATCAACCGGTCCCACTGTCAGGTCCCTGGTCAGTCGAAAGGTGTTGACAAATTCC